AAAGCATAGAATCACCAACAGGCGACACTCTAGTGCGATTTGGGGAACAACCACTAGATGGCGCGGCGGCCATTTTGGAATGAAAATTCCGAAAGAACCACAGAATATTATAAGTCTGTAAAATAAACTATTAAAAATGCTGATGATTTTGATAGTAAGTGTTGTTTTGCTGTCTTTCAGGTTGTATCTCAGCTTTAATGCGCATTTTAAATAAATAAATAAAAAACAAAGCAACTGCTTGCCATCACAACAACAGTAATAAGATCCAATGGATGGCCGATAGCTTTCTCTCCAAAATGGCAGAATCCGGGGCTGTTGGTGGGCGCTGCTGTAGCAATGGAATGTTCTATTGATAGTCGCCTCTTGTTCATTCTAAGCTCTTTGCCTGAGGTCTATGATGACCTCCTCCGTTTTCTTTACATTATTTCAAAATTGTGGTCATCACACCAGCTGACAAACCATTCTACAGCCACTCTATATTCCATGATACTGGCATCTTTTGTGAAAAGGTGCAAAAGTACAGCGTCATTGGAAAATTTCAGAATATATTGTTTTGTCTGCTGCCTAACGCAGTTGTTTGTATAAAGGGTGAAGAAAAATGGTGAATTTACACACCCTTTTGGCGCCCCTGTACTGCTTGTTGCTACGATATTTTGATATCCTTCATAAACAAACATGAGATTAGATGTTGGCATTCCTGTATATCAATGCACCACCAAATTACATATGCAAATGTTGTGTCAAATAAAACCGTTTTTTTGGTGGTTGTGCTTGTTTTATGTCAAATTGTGGATGTTTACACAATGATATTTAATGTAAAGACCTAGAGCTCTTTTTTAACAGTGTAGACACATGGTCTAAATGGCATGGTGCAGTTTTTATTAGGGCATGTCTGTTCACTTTTGCTAATTTAAGAATGGGGTAAACAGTCTGTGTGCCAGGCTCATGGCCTAAAAGTTCTGCCCTTATTCTTTTAATGCGTTAAGGGTGTGTTTTTGGACATAATTGGCATTGGTCACACTTTACAATAAGGTTCATTAGTTAATGTTAATTAATGCATTACTAACATGAACAAACAATGAACAATACATTTACTACTGTATTTTTTCATGCTAGTCAACGTTAGTTAATGAAAATACAGTAGTTCATTGTTAGTTCATGTTAACTCATGGTGCATTAACTAATGTTAACAAGCATGGACTTGGATGTTAATGATGCATTAGTAAATGTTCAGTTATGATTAATAAATGCTGTACATGTGATGTTCATGATTAGTTCATGTTAGTAAATGCATTAACTAATGAACCTTATTGTAAAGTGTTACCCTTGCATTAAACCAATCAGCATCTCATCTCCCATTCCCTTTAAGTGTTAGATGTGTCGCACCATGGCACATCTGCTAATTATTTGGTGGATTTTGTAAGTGGAAAAACTTAATGGGAGAAAATGGTAAAAGACCATCTAGAGAATGAGCCGTCTCCATTCGGCCTCTTCCTTTCGATCATTGATTCAGAAAACTGTTGTGGATGCACCTTAGTGAAGACATCCATTACATTTTTAATTTTGTAATTTTGTTTTTTAGACTCAAATTTAATTAAAACTATTTGTAAATTCAGTTCTTATTTCCAGCAAACTAATAAATGAACAATGACAATGAAAGGTTATATCCAAACATGCGTCCTATTCTCATGCCACATATGGTGATGCAAAACTCAACATATGGACAAATCTAAACAAAAAAATATGCATATAATAAATACTAATAATAATAATAACACTAAACAAATGTAAATTGTCATGAATTAAATGGCTACAACACCCCTTTTAAGCCTTTAATTTTTCATATTTAAAGATATTTGTGTACACTGTAAAAAATAAATCCTTAAAATTTACGGTAAAAAAATGGCAGCTGTGGTTGCCAGTACTTTACCGTTAAAAACACGGTACAAAACGTAAAAGTAATTTTTCATTTTTACTGTAAATTACCGTATTTTAGTAATTTATAGAGGTAAAATGTCTGTATTTTGAATGATCAACATCTACACATCTTTTGTCACACAGTTAGACACGTTAGCACATCCACATTCAGGTGGTGATGAGAAAGTTACATAATGAGCCAATGCTCATCACAATCAACTCTTCTCACAAGCAGAAAAGAGTATCAGCATATACAAGGTGCTCAGTGTCATTCACACAGCTACTAAACACCAGTATGGTAACACGCATAAAATTAAAGTCATGAAATAAACATTGTTTATCAACATTAGATGTAACATAAATCTCTAATGTACATAACTGATGGGGAAACAACTAAAAAGATCCATATTAATGTCAACCAAATGCATTCTGGGAAAGTCAATTTACGGTTATTCGCCGTATATATTAAGGTAACATACCGTTAACCAAGTTATGGATTTGTACTATAGCATTTTTACAGTTTTTTACCGTTGAAATCACGACATCCCTGTGTGTGTAATATTCAAAGTTTATGCATATTTTGGACCCCCATAGATGTATAACTAATGTGCTCTTTATATAACATATACATACTGTGCGTACTAAGCTTTGCACACACGTTTTGGATTTGCATAGGTACATAACACTAACGGTCTCTTTAAATAACAAATATCTGCACCACTGACTTCAGACCAGCTTTTAGTTGGTTAATGGCATGGTCAGTTTCACTTGCTTTAAATTAGCAACATGCCAACAATACGCTTAACACACCTCAGACCAGACCAGTTCACCCATGAGCACACAAATAGTCGCAAATACATTTGCTATTATAATAACATGGTGTAAAATTTTAAAAATGACATCAGCGGCAGTCTGAAGCTAGCAAGAAACACATGGTGTCGCTTTTTACCATGTGCATGATAGGACCCTTTGGTAAAAAGACTATCACAAACTTTAGTAAATCACCTTGCATAATAAATTTGAGTACTCTTCTCCTATAAATTTTGTGTCTGAATGGGAAAAGGCACTAAGGTCAGTCTATAAAATAACTGTGACCTTGCCTTTTTATTACTAAAATAAATCCTGACGATCGTTATTAAAGCCAAAGAGGGACTGGCATAAGTATTTAGTCAGCCTTGCCAAAAATGTCATAATGTAACTTTTTTAAAAATATGATCCTGTTTTGAGCCAAATATGCAATTTATTACAATTCCTGGTTTGAGTTCCCCTTCTACAAACTGAATCTGTTTTGTAAACTGTCCAATAAAGACATCAAAAGGACAAAAATGTATATATAATCCCTATAGTCCAAAAACATGCAGTGGAGGTGAATTGAATAAGCTAAATTGGCCGAAGTGTATGCGTGTGAATGCAAGAGTGTTTCCCAGTGTTAGGTTGCGGCTGGAAGGGCATCCGCTGCGTAAAACATATGCTGGATAAGTTGGTGGTTCATGCCGCTGTTAATTTAATTCCCTGATTAATAAAAGAACTAAGCCGAAAAGAAAATGAATGAATGAATTACTATTAACTGTAAAAACTATTTAAAGGAGACTGTTATTTTTATTGTATGATAATTACTGTCAGGGCCGGTGTGGGACTCCTTTTCAGCCCTGAAGTTTCAAGCCCTAGACCGGCCCACCTCAGTTCATGACTGACTATATTAAAATAAGGTCATTTTTAGTTCAGTTTCTAATGACACTATCACGTCCTTTTCAAGGACACTGCTTTAGAACTTCAAATGTTTTTCATAAATATGAGAACATTAATTCTTTATAGATATCCAGTCCTTTTGTCACACAAAAAATAAAAATAAAATATGTACCCCAACATAAGTAACCAAAACAGTATTATATAATGTGTATATATATATATATATATAATGTGCTAACCACTAGACCACTATGGCGCTGTTATCTGCTGCTATTGATGGCTTAATCTTTTTCTCCCTTTTTTAAATTTCTGATCAAGTTATGTCAGATTTATTAATGTAGTGAATCATCTGATTTTCATTGAGCAGGTGTTAAATTAATTAAAATTAATTATTTGGATTCTTATTTTCACTCATAGATATATATGTATAAATCTATAATGTTGTCGAAGCAGTGGCGCAGAAGGTAGTATTGTTGCCTCACAGCAAGAAGGTCGCTATTTCGAGCCTCGGCTGGGTCAGTTGGCGTTTCTGTGTGGAGTTTCCATGTTCTCCCTGCGTTTGCGTGGGTTTCCTCCAGGTGCTCCGGTTTCTCCCACAGTCCAATAACTTGTGGTACAGGTGAATTGGGTAGGCTAAATTGTCGGTAGTGTATGAGTGTGAATAAGTGTGTGTGGATGTTTTAGGTTGCGGCTGGAAGGGCATCCGCTGTGTAAAAACGTGCTGTATAAGTTGGTGGTTCATAGATTAATAAAGGGACTAAGCCGAAAAGAAAATGAATGAATCAATCTATAATAATCACTAAGGTGCTGCTGTTTGGGGTCGAATGATAGTTTCGTCATCATTAACCTGCAGGCTGCATTTTGCTCAAGGGGCTGCGAGAAAATCAATAAAAAGAGTGGAGCTACGGCAAAATAATGAACAAAAAGAGCGAGGCTATGGTCAAATAAGCAAATAAATGAAAAAATTGCGACTGCTGAGAGTGCAAGCAGCTAGGGACACCAGCCCTCACGGCCAAAATACGGACCGGCTCACTGGGAATTCTCCCAGTCCTCCTGATTAGCCAATCCGGGCCTGATTACTGTAAATGTATCCCACTATTAGTTTGCAGTACCCCATTAAAGCATATTTTATGTGAACTGTACTACTTTGTTTCATATGCCGTCTCTTGAGACACCTTGCCATGTGAGCCCCAGCCCCCCTTTTTACGTTATATGGCCAACTGTCTTTAAGAACTCAATGAAAAAATTAATTTGTATTTGTTTATACAATATAGAATCCTTCATAGTTTAAACTTCCTGCATCTTTATGCCAGTCAGAATTAGGGATCTCGTTTAAAAAATGCATAACTTGAAGACATAACAAGGTTTTTTATCTTTGTTTCTTTTCCTGCCAGCTATGGGTTAACCAGGAAAACATCGCTACCGAATCCGCTGAGGGTGCCAGCGAGGTGCAGAACGGACACACTGACCCTAGCAACGGCTGCCTGTGCATTGGCCAACCGCTGCAGAATCGAGATCAGATGAGGGCTAATGTTATCAATGAGATCATGAGTACTGAGCGTCACTACATCAAACACCTGAAGGACATATGTGAGGTACAGCTGCATTCAACAGATTACATTTGTGCCACGCAATCAAGTTAATGTGGAAATTGAAAAAAAGAACAATTTTAATAATTTGACAACTTATTTAAACTGATGTGATTTAACTCATGGTAATCTTGCACTTTTTTAGATCAGAAATGAATGTAGATATTTTTAATGAGTCTTAAGTTTAAAACTTTAGTTTGAGTGTTTTGTGTTTTTGTTTGAAATGTGTGTTTTTATGATGATATGAGTTTGTTGTTGTTGTTTTTTACTGCTGCAATGCTTATTTTTCACTACATGTATCTTATAACATGATAATGATTTGTTTAAATCAATCGATCCTACCATGAAAATGGTTACAGATTATTGTAAGGTAATAAAACCAAATATATAGTTGAAGACAAAATTAATAGTTGTCCTCTGAAATTTTACATATTTTTCAAATATTTCCCATGTGATGTTTAATAGAGCAATGTCGTTGCTTATAGTATTTTTTATATTTAATATTTATTTTAAAAACTCCTCAGTTCAATATTATAAGCCTCCTTAGTTGCCATGAAAGCTAAATGTACTCATTTTTGATTGATTATTGTGACAATATTCAGCCATATCGCACTACTCGCTACTCATGTGATATTGCATTTACACAACAGTTTGAGGGCATAACCCTGTAAATAAAAAAGACAATCAATCAAAAAGAGTTTAAAAATCCTTTGGTATGAGGAACTACTTTCTTACGCTATTCATTCACATCTGCAGCTAATGGTCAGAACAGCAGAAACTGTTGCTACTTCACCAAAATCACGTTAGAGCTAGTATTTGAATGATTTTGCAGCGCAATGTCTAAAATTGACAAAAGGTGATTTTGCTCACGTTTTAAGATTATGGGCTCTATTTTGACGGTTCATGCGCAGAGCGCAAAACGCAGGGTGCAAACGCTTTCAGGGTGTGTCAGGACACGTTTGTGCTAATTTAAGGACGGGAAATCTGCCTTGCGCCACGGCGCATGTTCTAAAAGGGTTGAGTTTATTTTCTTAATGAGTTATAGGTGTGTTTTGAGAATAAACCAATTAGAATCTCATCTCCCATTCCCTTTAAGAGTCAGCTGCGTCGCGCCAAGAGCGCATTCGCTATTTACAGGACGCAAAGTAAGTCTAAGTGGAAAAAAATGAGCATTTCACAAGCAATCAGTTAACAGTTTTTTTAACAGAAAACTGTTAAACAGAGCATCTACTGCGTGAAAATGAGAGATAATGGATCACTTTCACTTTCGCTCTTGGATAGGGAAACCTTTACGATTCAAAACTATTTCTAAATTCAGTTCTAATTTCCAGCAAACGAATAAATGAATAATAATAGCAAAATGTGCTCAAAAACCTGAGTTATATCCTAAAACACATGCTGTGCCCCATATGGTCTAAAACCTGACAGGTGGGCAAATCTAAGCTTGTTTTTAATAAAACTAATATAAATATGGATATAATGAATAATACTGCTAATAATAATAACATTATACAAAAGCAAATTGTTATGAATGAACTGAAAAAGCCTCCCGAGATGAAGAAGACATAAAAGCAGTGATTTTTCATATTTATGTAGGCTAGAAAATAATATGTTTTGTAATATTTTAATCCTTTATATTTATATCCTATATCTATTCTTATTATATCCTATTTATATCCTTAATATTTAAATTTTTTCATATGTAAAGATATTTGCCTATTGCTCTCTTGTGCGTATTAAGCAGTGTGTAAGCGAGACGCAACTCTGCGCCGGAGTTTAGACCGGGTTTGTTTTGGTCTAATGAAAAATCTATTATAGTTTCTCAAAATAGCAACACGCCAGCAGTGCGCCTCAGAACGCCTTCCTTTTTAGACCAGAACACCTATGGGCGCACAAATGAGCGCTAATGCATTTGCTATTTAAACAGCGTAGCGCAACGCCTCAAAACGACTCTTGCGCCAAGCTGAAACTACCAAAAGACTACTGCGCCACGCCTTGCGCCACACTGCGCCGGGTGTATGATAGGGCCCTATAAGTCTGAACAGCATGAAATTCCATCAGTCTTCAAAGATTTCCCAGTATTTTTTGGTGCAAAGCAAACACTACCAGATTACTATGGTATAAATACAGCACTACAACATACAAAAGAGAGATTAATAAAGAATGTCACTTACTTGGTCTGTAATGATTTCTTCAGCTGTAGTTTGAAACTATACTGAAAAATGCTGCCTTTCTCCCCAAATGACTAATCGTGCGGTCTCTGTCCCCATCTTGTGAAGGAACATCAATCGTCTTTGCTCTGCTCTGTATGACAGGCTGATGGCCGCCAAGGCTCTGAATCTCAGAAATTGATATAAATAATTTTAAAAATAGGCACTATCCTCATAAATAAACAGCATAGTTGCAATCTAAACAACTACATTTTTGCCTAAAAAGCCTCAAAAGTACATTATGTTGTCCAACAGCTGCAATATTTGTCAAACCATAGTCCTCTGCTTGCCACTCGTGTGGGCAGAGTAATACACAAGGATGAAGAGGCTGTACAAGTGCTGATATTACTTTAAAAACTCACGGCTATCAGCCAATCAGATTCGAGAACCAGACAGAACTGTTGCATGTAGGCCTTGTTCTTTATTTTATTATTTTGTAAAAATTCATTTGCTCTCATAAACTTTAATCAAATACAATAACCTTCCCTCCCCCTCAAAACGCCTCTCTCAGGTGAGTAGGCTTGACAAACCACCTGTAGAAACACTCTTCTTTCTATATTCACCAAACACTTTACTTGAAGTCCATCTTACAAGGAAACAAGGAAAATAAAGTTTACTTGTGAATGTACCACAACCTCAAACCTCTTCAACCTTAAATACCTATTTTGAACAATATTATGAGCAATATTGGTTTATCTTATGTAAAAAAGTACTAGTGTAGTCTGAATTAGGTTATGTGTATATTTAAGTATATGTATAGTTTGTAGTTAGTATTTTAGTTATGTGTAGGCCTAAAATTGCCCAAAAATAAATTAGTTACTAGAAATGAGTTGTTAAAAATGGTATGTTGAGTTTCAAAATATGTTATAAAATCTCTCTGTTATACAGCACTTTTGAAATTATTGAAAAATAATTTAAGTTTCACTTAAGAGGACTAATCATTTTGTCTTCAACTGTACAAGTAAACAAACTGTTCTAGTTTGACACACAAGAACAAGCCTCATTGGCTCTCTTGAGTTAAACAATCATGGTCTTCTATTTTTCTGGATTTAATGAGCTCTGTGTTTTATCACAAAAATGAAATCAGTCCATCATATAAAGGGATCATGTGTCTTTTAGAAGACTCTGGTTAAACCCCTCCATTAATAGAGATTTATTTGACGTGAAGTTTGCAGAGAGCTAGACTGAAAGTGTTTCTCTCTGTAGGGCTATTTGAGGCAGTGCCGAAAGAGGATCGACATGTTCAATGATGACCAGCTGAAAGTGATTTTTGGAAACATTGAGGATATCTACAGGTTTCAAATGGGATTCGTGCGGGACTTGGAGAAACAGTACAATATTGAGGAACCCCATCTCAGTGAAATTGGGCCATGTTTTTTGGAACATGTAAGTACATTGCCTTATGATTGGTGACCCGGGACCAAAAAATCTGTACATTTATGTAAATTGAAACATCTGAAAGTTGAATAAATATGCTTTCCACTAGAGCTGTGAACCTACACTGGTCTCACGGTTCAGTTTGGTTAGGATTATCATGCCATCGATTCGGTTAAATTTTATATCTCGTTGCATCACGGTGTATTGTCAATGCTTTCCATACACCGTTTTCTTCACATCAATTCTTGTGTTAAAATGTATTAATATATTTATTTTTATATACTATTTGTAATACAATTTTGTCCTTTAATAAAAGCAGTCAGATATATAAACTGTACCTTTTAACAACACGAGCATTTATAGGAATTAATATAAACAAATATAAATATCCCGCTCACTTTCTGATCCTTGTCTACCAAGTCCCCTTTGATTGATCACACCCTCAACAGAAAGGGCTGCGATTGGCTCTTACTGGCGCTCTTCGATAAGTGACACTGATAAACGGCAGCGGCGAGCACAGCTGATCCATGATAGACACGGTGGAGAAAATTCTGCAGACACACGCTCGTGTCTGTATCCAGAAGTATCAACAAAGAGCTTAGAGGCGACACTCAATAGAACGTTCCATTGCAACAGCAGAGCCCAGCAAAAGCCCTGGATTCTGCCATTTTGTAGTGAAAGCGGTCACTGTCCATTGGATCTTCTTGCTGTCGCGATGGCAAGCAGCTGCTTTATTTTTTTTTTTTTATTAAAAAAGCGCATTAAAGCTGAGATACAACCTGAAAGACGACAATACAACACTTACTATGACAATTATAAGCATTTTTAATAGTTTATTTTACAGACTCATAATATGCTGTTGTTCTATTGGAATTTTCATTCCAAAATGGCCGCCCGCCATCTAGTGGCTGCTTCCCAATTTGCACTAGTGTCGCCTCTTGGTGATTCTATGCTCTTTGGTATCACTGTAACGGCTGAGAGGTGAGGAAAAGTCACGCCAGCAGCAGGTCAAATGGGCCACATTGAGAAAGAGAGAGAGAGAGAGATGGAGTTTACTTTCATTCTCTCAATCGTAGTGAAATATCGGCTTCTGCTGTAAGTGTCAGTGAAAGACTGTCCAGCAAACACACACGCAGTGAAATTGTTCACAGTTTCTGCGTTTTTAAATAGTTGGAGTGTTGTAAATACTTACGCTTGCCTCCCTCGCCATAGTAAGCTACGGAGACATAGCGCATATGAGATAAATGACGTCAGTGCGTAATAAACGGTTGTGATTATTACTGAACCGATACCAAATTGTCTGCGTCTGCATCACATTTTTTCATGCAAATTCTATTGTTTTACACACACACACACACACAACAAAAAAAATGTCCAATATTAGTTTTGGTAAAAAACATGCAGTTGTTTTCCATATTAATTGAATTATATGTAAACTGTACATATAGGGCCAATGTTTCCTTTACAAATATTATTGAGAAAATGCAATATTCTATTCTCAAACATAAAACCACTTAGCTAACATGAACTCTAATCTCTTAGGCTATTTATTAAGAAATAAAAAAAAATCCTACTTATTATTATTATTAAGTGGGATATATATATATATATATGTCATCATATACAGTACAGATACACTTTTTAATAAACAACCCACTATATTAACGTATGCTATGTATTTTTGTTTTTACAAGCTTTAGAGGCATAATGTAAATTCCGCTTATATAATAAGTCACAGTTAGCTTTCATCATAAGCCATGGCTGTGTTAAAAAATCCCATTAATGTTTTCAAAGTGCACTGTGAATGGAACTCAACTGTTAGTATGAAGATTGCTAAAACTGAACTGTAAAAATACTTTAAAAGCAAATTACACGTAAGAGAGATGATTTTTTTCTTTTTTAATCATTCTAAGTTTAAATGTTGGAACATTCAAAAGGAATCCGCTTGTTAGGTGTGACATCACTCGAAGCGGCTTCCAATTGCTCTATCAAACTGTATAGGAAGACTCAACAAATGGAAATAATAAACATTTACTAAGTGTTGTAACACTTTCGAAAATCGCGATCGCTATACATATCCATGTATCTGATGACCAGAAAGTGATTATTTTTTATTTATTATTTGCTAAAACTTTGGTATTTGTGAAACAACAATCCCAAAGACTGATTTTGTATAAAATACACTTTAATGTGTGATAGCACCAAAAAGTGGCCATAAACGAATATTTTCTCAATTTAAATGAGTAGCGGCTTGGACCAGGAAACAGTATTCCACACGTCACCGATACGTCATGACTTAACAAGTGGATAGGGCATAGAAGGGATAACGGGGAACACAACCAGGAACTATGCTTCTAACTACAGCTCTAGAGGTGTAGTTGCAAGCGCACAAGATTGCGATGCAGTCTGCGAACTATTTTGTTAACGTACTATGGTTTTTGGAAACGCACCCCTGATCGATAATAGTTGTGTATGTATATCCATGTATTAGCTATTCAGACCTTTGAACTGACTCCTGTTAAAGCTATTTTTATTTTATCTCTTTTCAATACAGCAAGATGGTTTCTGGATCTATTCCGAGTATTGCAACAACCATCTAGATGCCTGCATGGAGCTCTCCAAGCTAATGAAGGATGGACGCTATCAGCACTTTTTTGAAGCCTGTCGTCTCCTCCAGCAGATGATTGACATTGCCATTGATGGCTTCCTCCTCACGCCTGTGCAGAAGATATGCAAATATCCTCTACAGCTTGCGGAGTTACTCAAGTACACGGCACAGGAGCATAGGTAACACGCACACACATATATATAAACACAGTGCCTAGTGACCTGAGGCTAATGTTCAGGCTAAAGCAGAATGTTACAAGTGCTTTCAATCAAACAGACATATAACCTTCTGGCAATATGATTTTGTGAATATCTGGAAATATCAGGATTTTGAATGTGTACTGCTGTAAATTTAATTCACAGTTACAGACAAAACACAATCTGACTAAACTAATAGCATTAATATAAGAGTTTTCCCCATTTTTATGATATACCTTAAATACAAAATAGTGTAACCCCTTATAGAAATAGTCACCCAAAAATGAAAATTACCCATATAATTTATTTACCCTCAAGCCATCTTTGGTGTATGTGACTTTTTTCCTTCATACGAACAAAGTCATCCTCACTCTAGAGAATGATGTTGGTTAGTGGCTTTTATTTTGAAGCTACTTAAAAGCACATACAGTTGAAGTCAGAATTATTAGCCTGTTTATTTTTTGTCCCCTAATTTCTGTTTAAAGGATAGAAGATTTTTTCAACACATTTCTAATCATAGTAGTTTTAATAACTCATTTCTAATAACAGATTTATTTTATCTTTGCCATGATGACAGTAAATAATATTTGACTAGATATTTTTAAGACACTTCTATACAGCTTAAAGTGACATTTAAAGGCTTAACTAGGTTAATTAGGTTAACTAGGCAGGTTAGGGTAATTAGGCAAGGTATTGTATAATGATGGTTTGTTCTGTAGACTATCGAAAAAAAAATTTGCTTAAAGGGGCCAATAATTTTGACCTTAATGGCGTTTAACAAATTAATAACTGATAAATAAAAAATAAAAAAATTCAAAGGGAGACAAATAATTCTGACTTACACTGTAAATCTGTTGTAAAACTAACCCATGTGCCGTCAGTGGGTTAGCACATGTCTTTATGAAGTGAATTGATGTTTTCACAGAAACATTGAAAAAAATATATATTATAAACTAGAGCTAAAGATCTTTGCCAGGACCGGACGGGTTCGGGTGGGTTCAGGCTTAATGTCTGTCATTTTAGGGTGCTTTCACACCTGTTAATCGATTCAGTTGTTCCGAAACAGAGATTACAATTGTTACATTGTTGCTCTTTGCTCTTGGAGCGGTTCGCTTTCACACTTCAAAGTTTCTAATCGGACCAAAAGAGCTAAAACAAGTCACGTGCGAGTAAACTCTCCTCACATTGGTCAGAGTGTCAGGGTTTATTTTGCAGCGTCCCGCTAAGCTGTTAGGAGAGGTGGTGGTTTGGTGGTGATTGACAGGGTGCGCGCGTGTGACGTGTCTGAGGCGCGGTGGGGAGGGGTTTGGGTGCGCGACGTAGCCTATTTAAGGACCGGGAGGGAGACGCAAGATTACCGGGAGATCATCACTCATTTGCGGGCATCCGGAGACTCGCGAAACTTCCCGCCCTAATCATAATTCTCTCATCATATAGCCGTAAGCCTTATACATATCCATAAAACACTGTGATATAACCGCGCTCGGATCGGATCGCTTTCTTTGCAATCGATCCGCTCCAGGGTCAGTTTCAATCGAGCCGAGACCACCTCATTCAAGCGATCTCGGAGCGATTACTTTGGCGCGGAACAGAGCGCGATTGCCCTGTTAACATATGCCAATCGAACCGCGCTAACTGGGCAAATGAGATACGTTCCGAAACAAAAGTGTAGGTGTGAAAGCACCCTTAGACAGGGTCGGGCCGGGCTTGGCTTGTGTGGTAAATGAACAGTCATGTGATGCATTTTGATTAGCGTGAGAAAGTAATCAAATCATTTGTTACAACATTAAATCCCATCACTGCAAAGGTGAAACAAAAGATGACGGAGAAGTCAAAAAGAGCGAATTTTGACTGGTCAGGCCAACCGCCAGTTAAAAAAGAATAGTCATTCTATATATAAGTGGATATATCATCTATAATTTGCAACTCAAAAAGTGGAGTGATTGTTTAGGAGTTAAACTTTCCATTTAAGAACAATTTATGGGAATTATAGAAATTGATATATGAAAAAGGAACCTAATGCTGCATTTTCTTTAGCGGTGCAACCTACACTCTGGGAAATAAAGGGACAGGAACTGTCACTGGGGCAGTACCTTTTCAAAAGATACATGTTTGTACCCTAAGAGTCCACAATGGTACCTCAAAGGTGGTACATATTAGTACCCAACTGTACCTAAAAAGTACCTTTGAGGTACCATTGTTACAAATTGGTACCTTTTGAAAAGGTGCTGCCCCAGTGACAGTTTACGTAACTTTATTTCTGAGGGTGTAGATTTAACGTTTCTTTTACCGAGTATTACATTTTTGACCAGGTTTGGTAGATTTTTTTTTCCTACATATCATATTTTTTGTCCATTAATTAATTTACTAATCTGGTTTTGTTCACTGCCTCAACCTCTTTTTAGCTTGAAGTTATGAATTGCAGTTTCTCTGTATAATGTCTTTTGAATTTATTGTTACTCGACCCACTTAAGTGCCAAATATAAATATATATATATATATATATATATATATATATATATATAATTTTTTTTTTTTTTTTTTGCTAGGAGGAATTTGAAATGGAGAAATGATTCATGGTAGCCTGTGCTTTTGTATGATATTATCTTTGTAAGTTAGTCAGTAGTTCTGCCTTCCTAATGTACTTTGACACATTTCTTGTTGGTGACAAGATGTAACAGACAAAAAAAAACTGTGTAGCCTATGCCTGGCATTTATCACACAGAAAAATGCTTAAGCAAAGACTTTCATGAAAATGTCTTGGTTAAATGATCTGCTAGAACTTTCTAGAACTTCTGAACACCACCATCTGAACCCAAGATAACATGACAGGGGTTGTTATTGAGTTTCTTCAGCACACTCCAAGGCACAACTCATTCATAATGTAGGAAAGAAAGAGCCACAAGCTTCCCCGTTTGCAGAAAAGCTCACTTTTATTATTAATTCTTTGTTCTAGTTTCTCAGGAAGAGACTTTTCTGTTCTGTTAACCACATGGTGCTGAAACAATGCTTAATTCACAAACAATTTATGCAATATTCTAGTTTTCTGAATAAATTAAATTTGCAGCTTTCAGTGGAATCATGGTTAGATTGTGTTATGAACTCTGTGGTGTGTTGGGATAATTTGTGTTTGTAATGATCAGGGTGTTGGTCTGGCAATTTCATTGGTTCTTGACAACTATTTAAGCCATGGGTTGTGTTGTTGTGATGACTTTGCTGATATACTTAGTAAGTAAAGCACGCTTAATGGCATTTCTTGGTGTTTGCCTCGAAAATATATAACAAACTGGCGACGAGGAAAATTGTATCGATATGGCCCAAATCGGTAGATTAGATGTGTATAAACCAGAAAATTAGTCCTGGTCAGCATATATTGAGCAAGTGGAATTATTCACGATTGCTAAGTACTCTTTTTGATTCCCCATATGGGCTATTGCGGTATTTGGTTCAACCTTTATAGTCGAAGGATAAGACATTTAGAGAAATTGTCGAGATTCTGCAAGCACACTTTGGACCCAAACCGCTAATAATAGCTAAACGCTTCTGATTTCAGCACTGTATACTGAACTCAAACAATGTGCTTCAAAATGTGATTATGGTGCAAGTTTGGATGAAGAGTTGTGTGATCGTTTTGTTAGCAGAATATAGAGTGAAGCATGCCAACGAAGATTGCTTTGAGAGGATGCGCTTACGTTTTGAAATAATCATTTGAAATAATCACTGTGTTTGGAATAATCACACAGCACGGCAGAATTAAATTAAAACACTTAAATATTTTCACAAACAACATCTCAGGAGATCACAGGAGAGGTAGACATTAAATGGTTAGTTCACTCAAAAATTAAAATTAGGTTATTATTTACTTACCCTCATATGGACTCTTTACAAGATTACAAAAAACATGAACATTTATTTATATGTATTCACCATAGACTGTAAAAGATATGGACATTAAATCCATGACGTCACTCATCGGTTTCTGAAGAGCACAAATGAAGCTACAAGTGGGCGTGGCCATTTTGTTTGTGCTTCATCGAGCCGACCCCGCGTAACCAAAATGGGCAAAGAGGTAGAGTGTGGGCGGAGCTACAGATACCTGCAAGCATTTTGCTTATAAGTTTTTCTTTGTCAGAAACGCTTAATACTTCATTACCTGCGACTTGTTTGTGTTCTAACCGCATGTGCTTGGTTGTATACTAAATCAATATAGAATTTAGTCTTTTAAAACGCTGTTGAAATACATTAAGCCACTAAGCAATGATCTAATGACATTTTTTATAGGAGGAAAACACGAATTACTTTCAAATACTTTAAGGGTTGGTCCATTACGATATCGTATTTGAAACTTTAGTTGATGTGTAATGTAGCTGTGTGAAAATAAACAACATCTCTGAATGTAAGACGCTCAAAGTCTAATACAAAGGGAGACATTGGCTTTTACAGAGTTAGCTTAGCGAAGCCTACGGCGAATCAAGTTTGGGGACTACAAAAAAATACATCCGGGTTAATGATGTCATAAACTTTTAAATTTAAACTTTTTAAAAACTTTTTATTTACACGCACACATCCTGTGCAGTGAAGGGGTGTGGCCATAGGAGCTATATTGTTATGGGATGCTTCCTGGTGATGCGGAGCTGATCTGTGAATTACAGCACATTAGGTTAGCTGACTTGAGGGCGGACCTTTCAGAGGAACTATGAAATATAACAGTCATTTTACATGTTAGCTAAGTAGCTGTATATAATCAAAGGAGGATATATGAAAAAATAACGTGATTTTCTACAAACGAAGCATGAGCACACATGCACCCCATAAACACTACCAAGCCTTAAAAATACACTATGGAACACCCCTTTTAAATATAGTCTGTGTTAGTAAATGCAAGGCTATTATGAAATCCATGTATATCACTGTACGACAATATTTCAGATGACTGTTCAGAATTTTCAAGAATAAAAAATTCACTCACTTGGGGAATGGAGGCCACTTGAATGGTTTGTGAGCATAATTAAGTACACACAGCATGCCATATTATCTGGTAATTGTAAGAAATAATTCCAAAAGGCAGCTGACTATATAAAGCCACTTAAAACAAAACAAAAGTTCAATGTATATGCAGAGTTCAGCAGCTAATCAGCCGGAATCAGTTGAGGTGACGTGAGGGCAACCAAGTGTGCACACCTCAAGTGGCCACGCCTTTAATTATGCAGTCTTAATATAAATAAAACGAATGGGCTATAAAAAAATTCACCCCCTCAAGGGTAATATTAGCTATATGCACCAAAACCATCTTTTGTACCAGGCTGTAAACGCGTTTATATCAGCTGTAAAAATGGCCAATTTAGCATGTCAGTGAACATCTGGAGTTTCTGGAACCAGCCCCCAAAGGCCAGTCAATGAATTGCAGTTTTGTTACTTTCCTATTAGCTTCGCAGGGGAGAGTTGCTGCTTGGTGTTTATGTATGCATCATATCATCTTTGCATCAAATTACAAAAATGAATATATATAAAATGGTGTGAGGCTTTTGTAATGCAGAGTGTATGGGGCAGGATATTTGCTTTCTTCTCACTTCTGGCTGTCGTTATCAGTCACACTTTTTTTTTTCTTTTTCTGAAAGTCTTGATAACACCATCGTGGAAGTTTTCTTTTATTGTTTCAGTAAATAGGATTGTAAAAATAATTAATCTCTGATTCACTGCACCGTAAGTTTACCCAACTCTATGCTGCTGAGAAACCTGGAAATGTGGAAAGCGTCCATTGTTCCAAACCCAAACATTCCAAAAAAAAGCCATGTGCAGTAGTTTTTGTGAATGCGCACTCTATACTGACACTGAGGAAAATAAACTGTCATTATTTTTGTTTAATGTGCACACAAAGATATTTTCATAGTAGATTAATAATATTTCCATTGAACTGCTAAAGGCATATATTTTGTTTTAATTATGTTTTTGGTGCCTTTCTGGACTTTAAATGACTGTTGCTATCTATTGAAAATGAGAGAGCTTTCAGATTTTGTCTAAAATGTCTTAATTTGTGTTCCGAAAAAGATCTCAGGGGTTTGGAGCCACATAATGCTGATTAACTGTTGACAGAATGTTCATTTTTGGGTGAACTATCCTTTTAACCACTTATATAAATGCTGGGTTCCATTTGGAAGGGCTCATCTCTATGCACTAATCTCTTCGGAGGGTCCATCTGAAAGCATTAGACCATAGGGACGATTCCTTCCAAACCGAATGCATTGTGTGACACCAAACAGCTTCCTTTCTCAAAGGATCATGGCAGAAGTGTCCATCAGATATATCCTTTAAAAGCCAGTTTTGAGCACTTCAGTTTGAAGCAACACTTTAATATGGTGGCCATGATGTTTTCAATTCAAAGTGCCCTTCAGAAGGCATATTTGCTAGCATATATACCCCCATTTATTTCCCATTTGGAACTAACAAATAGACATCAAACTGACCAAAAAAAAAAAAACAGATAATAACAGGAGCTATGCTGTATATTATTAATAAACACAACTAGAAAGGGAGCTCCTCATGTAACCATGGAAACCAACTAACATCTGAATACCACCGATTAGTAATACTATCTTGCTTTGTGCATGTCTGTAATGCGTTTTTACGGATCAACTGTTAGTGTAATGATGCCAATGAAGCCAAATGCAGCTTTTATTAGAATAGAAAAACAGGCAAGGTTTAAACAGGAACAGGCGATAGCATGTAGATAATCCAAAGAGTAATTGGTGTAAAAGGCAGGTGGTTGAGGCAGGCAGCAAAACAAAAACAAACATAAAACAAACAATGGTTAAAACATGGTTAGACCAAACAAGGAAACACTTGGTAATGCTCACTGCAGGGAAACAAAACTCAGCCAGGATGTGTGTGTGGAGTCTTTATAGTGCATGTGAGTCCTGATCAGCTTTAGCTGTGTGTATGTAATCAAGGCGTGACCTGAAACTGGTGTGGTGCTGCGAGGTATGATGGGATATGTAGTTTGGGTAAATGACAGGGACTGTTGTCCAGTGATCTGCAAGGGCTAAGTGCTGATTTATACTTCTGTGTCAAGCGCACACGTATGCTACGGCACAGCCTACGCGTGGACGCATAGCCCTTGCCGTGGCCGTTCGGCGTCTCTGATGTGCACCTCTCAAAAAATGTAACTACTCGTCGCAACAACGCATAGCGCAAGCTCTGTGATTGGCCGGCTTGGTAGCACTGACAAGTGTGGGCAGGACCGAGAGCTGAAGGAGCTCCAGATGAAAAGTTTTGTTTTGTTTTTACCTTATGATTAAAGTTGTTACTCGTCTGCCGGTTCCTGCCTTAAAATGAGCGAGTTTAAACCACTTGTACATTAAGGAAGCGTTCCGAAAAAATCAAAACACCAGCGAAGAAACTCTACACAGACGAACATAAACACCTCACTGCCAACAAGCGTTTCAGAAGTGTTATTGCAAAGCAACAGAAACAGCGCACAGAAGTATGAATGCACAGCTACGTGCGTTGCATGCGTCGTGGGTCACGCCGGTCACTTGACGCAGAAGTATAAACCAGGATAATACTGATGCTGTAAAACAGTGGTTCATCTTTTAATTCTTTCCAGTTAAAGAACACTCCATATTTTCAAATAAAATGTTTGGTCTTATTTTTATCTAGTTGTGTTTGTAGATTGCAGCACATGACCAATCCCATTTTGTGAGTTTTTTATGTATATTTACTGTCTGTGGGTGTCGTGTTTTTGTCCACTGCAGTGATTACCGCTATGTGGCCGCAGCTCTTGCTGTCATGAGGAACGTCACCCAACAAATCAATGAGCGCAAAAGAAGACTGGAGAACATCGACAAGATTGCACAATGGCAAGCTTCGGTGCTGGACTGGGAGGTGTGTTTAATTAAGTTAATTATGATTTAATTAACTCATTGGGTCACATTTGTTCAAATTTAATTAGACTGAACTTTTTTACATCATACAGATACATCTCAAAGTTCTTTTTTAAATGAAAAAAGAAACTTTCTCATATTCTAGATTCATTGGACACACGAAGTGAAACATTTTAATGATTACAACTTAATGTAAAATGATCCGTAGCAGTTTTGTGGTTTGAGATTCACGTTTTTTGTTATGAGACCTTGGACTTTTGATTTTATTGACATTATTAGTTTGAAGCAATGTATTGTCTGAGCTGGTGGTGTAAATTATGGTAAAAAAAAACTGGTAATCAACTTGCAATGGCAGCACGATGGTGCAGTGGGTAGCACTGTCGCCTTATAGCAAGAAGGTCGCTGGTTTGAGCCCTGGCTTGGCCAGTTGGCGTTTCTGTGTGGAGTTTGCATGTTCTCCTCATGATCATGTGGGTTTCCTACAGGTGCTCCAGTTTCCCCCACACTCCAAAGAAATGCGGTACAGGTGCATTGAATAAGCTAAATTGGTAGTAGTGTATGTATGTGGGTGTTTCCTAGTGTTGGGTTGCAGCTGGAAGAGCATCCGCTGCTTAAAACATGTGCTGGATAAGTTGGCAGTTCATTCCACTGTGGTGACCCCTGATTAATAAAGGGACTACGCTGAAAAGAAAATAAATGAATGAATGAACTGCCAGTACTTTTTCTTTTATTTTATGGACTTAATTCCCTCTATAGTATTTCTTATAAAATATGATGTAAAATAAAAACTACTAAAATGTCAAAAATGTAAAGAAAAGAGTACAAATTTAAACATCATAAGTTGATAGGGCAGAGTTCAAGGTCCCATAATGCAATTCATAACAGATTAAAAAAAACAGAAAACTACATAAATAAACTCTTAATGGATAATTATGGAGAAAACTTAAGAATGAGTTTCTAAAAAATAATATTTTCTCTAAGATTAATCAAAATCAGATTTCCAAAAATGTTCAAGATTCCCAAATTATGCGCTAAATAATTGGTTGGTGTCCCTTTTTTGTCCATGATTTACTGCTTCAGTGCAGTGTGGCAGTATCCACCTTGTGGCTCGTTTCCACTGACTGGTACAGTATGGTTTGGTTCGGGTCAATATGGGTCACCTTTATCAGGCTTGCGTTTCCATTACCAAGGGTACCCTTTTGGTGGGCATCGTGTATGACAAAAAGTTTCAGTCATCGTCATTTTCGCTCAAGAAATTGTCTACAGTAAAGCTGTACGGGTCGCAATTCACTCTTGCATTTGTCAGTTTCTGACAGGATCAGGTTTCAAAAGCACGTCAATAATTCAAGTGCACATTATTATCATCAGCTCAAGAAGTCAGATATAGACGCGCAACAAGAGCAAGCAAGAAAGCGAAACTACTCGCGCTTCAGTCTGGCTCGTAAAAAAGTAAGGGGCACAGGGTAAATCTGCTCTTCTTTGTGGCTGTTCATCAACACGCCGACTAGAAGGTTTGTTTAAGCCTGGGTCGACCTTGGCTCATTATGATATGTTTATATATTTACGCTGTAAAAGATCTCTCAGCTGTGTATTTTAAACATGGCGGCTCTTTTGTTTTTCATTCTTGTTCCGTAAACGAATGATGTATTTCTGTAAACCAATAGCGTTCAGCTGTCTTCTAGCACCGCCATTATGGTACTATACAATGAGCATGCGGACATCTCAGGGCTGACAAAAAGAACTAAACCGACAAAGAAGGCTAAAACAAGAGGGCTTATGTACACTGAATATGTGGCTTTTGCTGCTTGTTCAAACTACTTATTTAAAATTAGTCAAAACAATACAATTTTATATTTTTTAGAGGGGGACAACTGTTATGTTCAATCCACTTAAACTTAGACTTAAAACTTAAAGTTAGCTTTATCGATTTTTGTTGACACAACATGAAGAAATTGACAAAGGGATAATAAGTTAATAGATAACAAGGGAGTGGAGACAATAAACAACCAAGGCAACTAACGAGGGTAACTACAGAAACATAAGAAAGCTAACATGACAGGGAATGACATGAATAAACTCAAGTGCAGGACAGAACTAAATACTAAGGCCGTTCTCACATTAAGCTATCTGAACCACACCCATGCCTGTTTCCCGGGTCGTTTGAGAAGTGTGAGGGCTCTGAATCGGATTCAGGCGTGGAAGAGGTGTGCCAGAGCGCGGTTCACTTGGGCTTTGGTGCGGTACGATTGTAGTGTGAGTGCAAAGCACTCCTGAGGCTAAAACTCAAGACGAGACATGACTTTTAAAGGACTGCTTCATTTGGATTTATTAATCATTCTTGCTCTTCAATGAACACCAACTGTCGTAGATTATTTAAGACACAAACCCCTCACTGCACAACAGCGGCACCTTCAGCAGACCTCCTAATTCCTGCAGCACCAAGGACTAAATATTTTACTGCGTGCCACCTCATATCGATTTAGCTAAAGCAAGTGTGCTTCGGCATGGTTCAAGGCAACTGTACATATTGTGAGTACGCCTTAAGACAAGACAGGGACTGTAAAAGGCTGGAGGTGATCAGCCTGTGGCAATGCTGAGGCATTATTGAAGTCCAGCCAGCTTGGATAGCGGCCTTCAGATCATCTGTATTGTTGGTCAGATGTTTCTCATTTTCATCTTGACAATCCACTACAAATTCTTTATAGGGTTCAGGTCAGGACAGTTGGCTGGCCACTCAAACACAATATTATTATGGGAATTATACACAAAATCAATCAAAGCTTTTGAAGGTTACCAAAAAATTTGGAATTTTTGATTAGTTTGTACATCAGTAACTTTTAATGCAGTGAATATGGAATATAAAAAGTTTGCTTTTTGTAAACTTTTTAAAGGAGATGATAAATATAAATCACAAATATATACAACATCCTCTTAGTTTTCAGATTTCACGCCAAAAGACTTTTTTGTAGGCATTGATATGTATGTTTGTGCCATTTTTTGTATGTGTGCGTGAAGCGTAGAACAAAGCATAGGCGCACTTTATCAAATTTGTATGGGTGGCGCTGTTGAACCTTTTAGCCACACCAAGTTCTGAAACCATATCAAACATCCATTTCTGCTACTTCTAGTGTGTATGCACCAGAGAAATTCTGAAAAAGAAGAGGAAAAAAAACAAGCAATTTCAATAAGGCCCATGCACAAAGTTCAACTGTCCAGAACAAAAACTAATTCTGATGACTACATTTTGTTTGTTTAATAATTCAGCTTAACCTTTTGCCTTGATTGCTGATGTTTTTTTTAGGGTGATGACATTCTGGACAGAAGTTCAGAGCTGATCTACACGGGTGAGATGTCCTGGATCTATCAGCCTTATGGCAGAAGTCAGCAGCGGGTCTTCTTCCTTTTTGATCATCAGCTGGTCTTGTGCAAAAAGGTACATGACATTGCTAAATACTGTATATAGTGAGGAATTAGTGTAAAATGTTTTATTTATGCTTATATCTTAATTTAATTTTATTAGATTTTCTTTTTTGTAGGTACAGTTGAAGACAAAATTATTAGCCCTCCTGTGATAGTTAAATTATTTTTCCAATATTTCCCATGTGCTGTTTAACAGAGATTTTTTCAACACATCTTCTTTTTAAATAATAGTTTTTGTCTTTGCCATCATAACAGTAAATAATAGTTTACTAGTTATTTTGCAACATGCTAGTAATGCGTTTAAGTGTAATTTAATGGCTTAAATTGGTTAATTACGTTAACAAGACAAGTTTGGTTAATTAGGCAAGTCACTGGACAACAGTGGTTTGTTCTGTAGCCAATCTAAACAACACTAATAATTTCTTAAGGCGACTAATTCTACTGACCTTGAACAATTTAAAATGTTTTATTTTTAAAATTCCACAAAAAAAAAACTAATGGAAATGGGACTTTCTCCAGAAGAAAAATACAAAAGAAAAATTATTTTAGTCTGTTATTCATCGCTTGGAAAATGGAATAAAACATAATTAAAAATCACACAGGAGGCCCAATAGTTTTGTCTTTAACTTTATTATTGTAACATACTAGTCGTGGATTAACGGAGGTGAGAATCCATGTGCAGTTTTTATTTAGCAGTTTATTTATAGCGCTGTTATTTCCGTCACTGGTTTATATTAATGTTCACTCTTTTGGACATTGTACATCACATTGGCCAAATGTGGAAGTTTTTAATTATAATCTATATATGAACTGTGACTGACACTGTATATCATCATATATCCACACTATAACAGTTTGAAAGATTCTCAGAATTCCCAACCATTCTTTCCAAATACCTACATTAAAGATGTTTTACTAATGACAATAAAATGACCAAAATTCCAACACAATCAGTTTTTTTTTTTTTAAATGTCCTCAGTTTTTGTACTCTTCTTAACAGATCACATTGCTTTATCAGATCTATATCAAGTAAATATTATAGCACTTTAGTAATCCAGCAAAAGGTGTACAAGTAATCATGCTAGCTATGAATACATTTTATGCCATATTTATTCCATTGAAAAAGTGAAATCCACAAGCAAAATAAAAAAAAACCTTCAATAATCACTTGTTTTCTCTTCCCAGGACCTGATACGACGGGATATACTTTACTACAAAGGACGCATTGACATGGATAGATACGCAGTGCGAGATGCTATTGATGGACGGGATGACGACTTTAACGTCAGCGTTAAAAATGCTTTCAAGCTGCACAACAGAGACAGCGACGAGATTCACATCTTTTTGGCCAAGAAGCCAGAAGAGAAGATCCGCTGGCTGAGGGCTTTTCATGAGGAGCGCAAGATGGTTCAAGAGGATGAAAAAATTGGTCAGTTATCTTGCGTTTATTAGTTTATCAGTAGCTATGTTTCCATCCAAATATAATAATAATAATAAGGTTGCACAATATTTCATTTCAGCATCGATTCACGATATTGATAATCTGCAATAGTCACATTGTAGGATTTAAAGCAATATCAGCCCTGTATAACTCTGAAATTGAATTCATAATAGTCCTAAAAATGTCTTTAAATGTATTAAATTTGACTTGATAAAACCTGCAGAAATAGTGCTTTATTTCTAAATGTTTTACCCTAGTTTTAGGCTTGTGCATAAGTCTATTTAGCATCTTTGGATGAAAACTTAGCTTCTGTGCTTGTAAAGTATTAATATTAAATATTAATATTAAAATACCATTATTTGCTATAAAATACTGTTGCTTTTTATGACTTCACCTCAACTCCTCTCCTTCTGGTGTTGTTTTTGTGCAGGTTTTGAAATTTCTGAATATCAAAAAAAACAAGCTGCCATGACAGTGCGTAAAGTTACCAAACAGAAAGGTGAGGCAACAAAGCGATACCAGGTGAATTCAACATTCTTCTATTTTTACTATCTGTCTTCTCATTGTTGCTTTACTCTAGTGAGCTGGTGTACAGGAACATATTCATAGATTCATGTTTTTAGACTGGACACATTGTGAGTTTTTGGGCAGTGACTAATAAAAAATAGTCAAACTATAATTTTCAGCAGAAGCTCTGTTCAACACCTGTAGATGTTGATCATATGACTGCATACATCTTTTCAAATTCAATAAACTCTTGATAGTTATAGATAACAAACGGTGGAAGACATCTACAGTTGAAATCAGAATTATTAGCTCCCCTTTGAATTTTTTTCTTTTTTAAAATATTGCCCCAAATGATGTTTCAAAGAGTAAAGAAATTTTCACAGTATGTCTGATTATATTTTTTCTTCTGGAGAAAGTCTTATTTGTTTTATTTCGGCTCGAATAAAAGCAGCTTTTAATATTTAAAAAAAAAAACATTTTAAGGTCAAAATTATTAGCCCCTTTAAAGGGCCATGAAACCCCCTTGTTTCAGCAGAGTGTTTTCACACCTCTACTTTGGAAAAAGTCAGAAAAGTGGGCGTGTCCAGCTCTGTTTAGGGGGGAGTGTCGGAGAAAGAAAAGAGGCTTGGTGTGGGAGTGTCTATTTGGGCGCGCTGAATTTCAGAGTCAAAACACACAACCACAGCGGACAATGTGACTGTGTTTACATGGACATCTGTAGTCGAATTATTTGCCAAATTATTAAATGGTGGACTTTAACTGCAGTTTGGCTCTTTCATTCAGGGAATTCATTCATGTCCCTCCCGACAAAGGAGATATTTGATTCGAGGAACTGCTCTAAGCGTGTATTTTTCATGCCATGTTTGATACCGCACGGCGAATGAGAGAAAAAAAAACTCAGCATTTCCTGGAAACTTAGATGCACATGGCAGGTAGCGTCAGAAAGCCGCGTGTGTTATTCCGGTCACAAAATCCAACACGAGGTTATAGTTTGGTTGTAACTGTTAGTGCTAACTTGTTTACACTGGTGCAATAGTTTGTTTGATACGAATAAAATATGAACTGAATAAACAAAGAGCACTGGTCGCTCACTTACCAAATCTGTAGAGACAGGACAATCACCAGCAACTAGAGCCGCATCTTTATTTAGAGGAGACTACAAGCGAATCCGGATCTCAGCGTTTGCAGATGAGAACAGCTCTCAGGTAAACAATGTTCCTCCTTAGAAACGTAAGTTATTGTTGTTGCGCGTCGCGTACACTGTTATATAGGTGTCCTAATAGTGTTTTTAGCAGTGTGGGACACATATACGACTGTCAACAGCTCAAAAAATGTGTTTTGGTGTTTCGTGACGCTTTAAGCTTTTTTTTTTTTCGATAGTCTACAGAACAAACCATCGTTATACATTAACTTGCCTAATTACTCTAACCTGCCTAGTTAACCTAATTAACCCAGTTAAGCCTTTAAATGTCACTTTAAGCCAGGGGTGTCCACACTCGGCCCTGGAAGGCCGGTGTCCTGCAAAGTTTAGTTCCAACCACAATTAGACACACCTGAGCTAGCTAATCAAGCTCATACTAGGTTTTCTAGAAACATCCTTGAGGGTGTGTTTAAGAAAGTTGGAGCTAAAATCTTCAGGACACCGGCCCTCCAGAACCGAGTTTGGACACCCCTGCTTCAAACTGTATAGAAGTGTCTTGAAAAATATCTAGTAAAATATTATTTACTGTCATCATGGCAAAGATAAAATAAATCAGTTATTAGAAATGAGTTATTAAAACTATTATGTTTAGAAATGTGTTGAAAAAAATCTGCTCTCCATTAAACAGAAATTGGGAGGGGGAATTTAAATAGCCCAATAATACTGACTTCAACTGTATAAATGAACCTGAACCAAATTTGAAATCACCTCTTTCTGTCTAGCCTCAGAGGTCTTGCAGTTGCAGTGCTGTTAATGACAGCTTCATTGAGTTGCGTAGACAGAGCCATTGATTGTCTTCAGAGTTTTGGCGGAAGTGCAGAACTGTTAAACTTGTGCTGGATTGAATTGATCGACAGCTCTGCCAATAATAATGCAGTGCCCTTCGTTTTATTTACATTTTGATTGAATATTCTTTGCCTTAATAACATCAAATAAATATTTCTTGAACTGAACTGCTCAGTTTAATTTAATCATAACTTAGAGCCAATGAAAGGAGAATTTAAATAGTGGGATTAAATTACTACAACTAAAATAAAAAACTGAAAAAAACTATGTCATTTAAAAGGGTGGTCCACAGTGTAATTTTAAGGCTTGGTTGTGTTTATAATTGTGCTCATGCTTCACTTGTAGAAAATCGTGTTATTTTTACATATATCTTTGATTATATACATGAAAATGACATACATGTCATATTTCCTAGTCCCTATGAAAGACCCGCCCTCATGAGGCTCTGATTGGTCCGCTAACATAATGTGCTATGATTCATAGATTGGCGCCCCTACTATCGCGCGCTTTTGTGATGTGTAAAAAGTCCAGTCAGAGCAGCTGTTAGCAGTGTTAGCTGTCTGAATCAGACAGAAATGAAGAGCACACAGCTGAAACTCACGCCTGCTCTCCAAAATAACATCTGACAAGTGTCTTTTACATATATTCGGAATAAACATGTGTAAGTAAACACATTCTCATATCTTTAACGAGTTTATTATTTGAGACGTAGAACGCATAAAAAGCAGCCGCATAGAGAGAGAGACAGGCATAAAAATACATGCATTTCCTGTTGTTTACATCCTTGTTTACTTCCTCGCTACAACATACCGGTAACGCTAGAAACTATTCATGTAGTTGATCAATTTTAACAAATAAAAACACTTACAGGTTGTGGCTCACAATTCCCAGCTTTGCTGTTAGAGCTGTTGGAGCAGTTTTAGCCGAATCCAGCACTGAACTGGGAGAGATTCTGAAAGCTGTGTTTTGTCAAATGTTAGCGCTATATTACGGCGGATCTGGCCACGCCCCCTCGCTGCGAGGGATGTGTGCTTGTGGTGAATGCACGTAAATTTTGTTCGCTGTAGGCTTTGCTAAGCTAACTCTGTAAAAGCCAATGTCTCCCCTTGCATTGAACTTTGAGCGCATTACATTCAGAGATGTTGTTTATATTCACACAGCAGCATTACGCATCAACTTAAGTTTAAAATATGATATCATAGTGGACCACCCCTATGGGCAAAGATTTCACAGTATTTCCTATATTTTTTTCTTCTGGAGAAAGTCTTTTTTGTTTTATTTCGGCTAGAATAAAAGTAGTTTTTAATTTTTTTAACTATTCTAAGGTCAATATTCTTAGCTCCCTTAAAAAAATGTACTTTTTTAGATTGTCTACAGAACAAAAACATCGTTAGACACTGGTTTGCCTAATTACTCTAATTTGGCTAGTTAAACTAATTAACCTAGTTAAGCCTTTAAATTGCATTTACAATTGCTAATTTTTTTGCAAAATAACTAGGTAAATATTTTGTCATATTACCATGGCAAAGACTAAATAAATTAATTAATAGAAGTTAGTTATGAAAACTTTTGTTTAAAAATGTGTTGGAAAATATCTCCTCTTAGTTATACAGCATTTGGGAAACATCTGAAAAAGACATAACATTTCACAGGAGGGCTAATATATACAGTATAGCTCTATATGTATACAAACATGTATTCAAGCAACAATGAAAAGACAGAAAACTAAGGGTGCTTTCACACCTAGACATTTGTTTTGGAACCTTGAGCATTTCCCTCCTTAGCTCAGTTCATTCGTGTATACAGTATGTGAACAAGGTAAAACAATTGATCTGTGATAGTCTGAACAAGGTGTCCTTGGCATGGTTGAAAACTTTGTTGCAGAGGAAATGGAATCCAATCCAACTAACACAAAATATCTGAAGGTTATATACAGTACAGTACTGTGCAAAAGTCTTTTATGCAGGCTTTTTGAAGCATTATGTTGTCAAAGTTCTTCTGGATTCAGTTTGTCTCAGTTTCTTCATGTCATCCATGTCAAACAGACTGGATGATGATCAGATTAGATCTCTCTGTGTGGAGCACTGGGAGTTGTCAGACTCCTTGTGCAGACAATAATCTCAATGTTGAATTACAGTCAACTATAAAAATAATGCTTGGAAATGTAAATTAGTATTTTTAAAAAATATCCAACTTTAAATAAATTTTTTGGGTGAAATTTCTCGTGGCCTAAGACTTTTACACAATACTGTGAAGAGACTTTGCGACTGATTCACTTACACATTACTTTTTTGGTCCGTTTAGAAACTTTGCCATGTGAAAGTGAACTCACCAAAAATAAAAAGCAACATTTAACCATTTTAAACCCTGCTTTCAAACAAAGCAATTGATCTACATGTGTGAAAGCACACTTACATGCTGATTGACATTGGTTTCTAATCTCTATTCTGCAAAACAACATGTTAGCATTGTTGTATAGTTCCTGGGGCCAAGCACTGAAGGTTTATCACTCTGTTTGTCCTACTGTATTTTTTACAGGTATAGTGAATATATAGGGCAGCTAGTATAAATAGGATAAAATCTAATGAAAATTGGCACACTCGAATGTCTTATGTCTCTTTATATCTACAGTCTTAAAGTTAATTTGCTCATAATTTAAACCAAATGGACTGGAGACATTGGTGGTGCAGATGCCTTACACAGAGTTGTCTTCCTGTAGTAGTAGTTGACATGTTGGCAAAAGGGCCCATGGAGTATAGAGCAGGCAGCTGGGTCAGAAGAGCCTTCACAGACTCCATGCCAGGCTGTCTGCGTCACTCAGGAGCCGAGTGGGTTTGACAGCGTGTGCCACTCTAGAGGTCCTTTGTGGACCGGGCTGTGCAGCTAAAAGAACTGGAAGGATTAGATTAGGTCTGTCGATCCTGGGTTCTTTGCAACAGAAATACAGCTTATGACTATATAAAAGGTTTTGCTCACAAGAATTTGAACAGTAAACACATAGTTCA